TGAAATACAATCTTGTTAAAATGTTGATTATTTTCTGGTTTTTCCAACAGTACTTTTACCTCCTATGACTTAAAGATTCTTCAAAGGAAATTTCATTGAATTCAGCTTGATGCCTCTTTGGGTGATATTGCTAACAAAAATAAGTTGAAAATTCTCGAATTTGTGTAAAAAAAACCCTAAAATTCTACTAGAAGACAATGCAATGATATGGCACAGTGAAAACAATGAAGAGAAAATCATAGTAGCTGAGAGTGATGAAGTATTTTTAGCAAATTTTACGTCATAAAGGAGCGAATTATGATGTGAAATTTTATTTAAAATTGAAAGAAAATCCTCCAATATGGAGTGAGGTCTATTTCATTTCCAAACAGCCAAATTATAATGGCACTTTAAACTAGTCCCACCATTAGTCCCTGTGCTGTCAACCATTATAGATATACATGTATGTTCTGTATTATGAATAACCTGAATCAGCCATATAGATTTATGATGTACAACAGTATTTGCTTTTCATCATTTAATTGACAACGAAAAATCTCTTATTGGATGATTTGAAGCCATCTATTTATAATCAGCAGACAAAAAACAAAAACCATGAAAATTTTTAGTGGGCTAAAAAGGATTTTTCCCTATTATCTATAAAAACAATCACTGACAATAATTGAGTTACAACATAATATGATTTGGAATATTCCTAAAACCATATCATGATTAAAAAATTTGTTTTAATTCTTAACTCTGAAATATATCATGTCTATCAGTTAAAAAGTAGAAACTATATCCTGAAGTGGTTTAGAATTTAGTCTGATACAATTCTAATGCTGTCTCGGCTAGCTTTAAATCAACAGACACAATGTCCCCAGTCTACATCTGCATTTGGCCAAAGTGATCAAGTTTTAATGAGCTTGTCAATTCTACTTCATTTTTATAGTCAGGAGTAGCCTGAAATTCTGTTTAGTTGCTATGGGAATCGTTTACTGTATCTACTGGGACCAATAACAATACTTAATATAGTGTTAGTTATAGCATTTTATATACAAATATAGATGTAAACTTGTTAGGATTTTCATTTCAGAACATTTTATTGCACTGATCTTATAGTACAAATGGAATCCTGCAACAGGCATATCCTATATATAAGCCCAGAAGGCACTTACTTCACAATGGTAAGAGTACAGCCACATCGTTTTGTCCATGCAGATACATGTTTGCTATTATGCAGTAATTCTTTAGAAATAACAATAATATTTTAGGAGATTACCATTTAGAATATATTTTAATAATCTATTGATTATTTCAGTAACTCAGTGAGAAAGCTGACTGTTTTTATATATTTCCATGTGAATTGAAATTGAAGCAGGATCTTCAAATTCAAATAAATTCAGTTAAATAGGAGAAAGAATACAAGTTTCATTCAAAGTCTAAAAAGGTAAAGAACATGAAAAAATCCCAGATTTCAAAGATCGTGAATTGTCAATAAATACATTGAACTTCTCTTAATTTGGATAATTACTAGGAACAAATTGATCTTGTTTAGTTTTGTTACAAAAATTTTGTGAAAATATTTGTTCTGTCATTATTCAAATGCAAAAATCCAAGATGATACTAACGCTTAGAAAATCTGACGTGTGACTTATATAATCTAGTTAAGATTATACAGATCTGCTTTACCACAAAATACACTCGATGCTAATTAAACCATTTCATCAAAAGATTAATACTATTGACTACGAAATTTTCACTTCAGTCAATACACTGAGCTGACATAAGTTGCTGGTGCACCAACTTGTTGTCAATCATTTATCTTGTTTCAATTGCACAGTTACTTAGAAGTCAAATGTAAAATGAAATTGAATTTGTATCAAAGATGTATAAACCTAAGTACAGATGTACTTACTCACAGCTTGAGAAATCCTGCAGTGCGTCTATGAGCATGCAACATCATCAACAGTTAACATGTTGAAATCTTTAACGTTACCATATTCAATTTGATAAGTGCATCTGCATCCAAATGCAATGTTTGTTTGCAGGGTTTATCACCCTCTGAACAGCCAGGGTAATCTTGAAGTGGGATCTCTTTGTAGTAGCTGGTGGCTACCCCATTGAACATCATACAGAGGACCTGCTATATATATGCTATCCAGAGCAGCTGGGGTTAAAAGTTCTAGCCCAGGGAGACAACCAGGACACCATAGAATGGTCTGTGCACTGTTTCCAAAGAAATTCTTTAACGAATATTAAATTTAATGCATGAATATGTGAATTTATCATAAATGACAACAACACATCCACTGGAAACAATTTCCTCAATTGTAGTCAAACATTCTCTATATAATAACAAATCTACACTGTATGTAGTAATTTTCGTAAACAAATTTAAGTGAGGCCAGAACACCATTTCCAAATTTTGATGAGTCCAAAATGATTGCTAAAAGATATATTGAGCCCTCAAAGTTAGCTCAACAGTAAAAGAATGAGTCAAAAACTCAAACATCCGAGTCACAAAAACAGACCCAAACTTTATCCTTAAAAGTTTGGGTGGTCAACAACGAAAGTAAAACTTTACTCAGACCATGTATTGGTGATGATTTCAAACCAAATATACAAGAAAGTCTATCCTAGTCTCCATCATCAATATCAAAAGGGTCATAATAAAGATCTATTTTGAATTCTGTCTATATATATGAAAATATTTTTCAATCTCTTGATATCCAAACTGTATAAAAGTGTCTACAGCACTGCCCAGGGTTGAACAGGTTGGAAATTCATGTAGGACCTTTGAATTTATCACCATTATAATGCAATATTAAGAGATATCTTCATAAAATGTTTGTGATTATTATATTGTGTGAATCATGTTTAAGATAACATTTTGTTTGACAATTGATAGGTCATGAAAATGTTGTATCTATATGTACATACCATTTCTTTAACAACGATTTCTAGTAAATCAAAGAGTTCCAACACAAAGATATTTTCAGGTACATGTACACTACATCTAATTTTCGAAGTAGTCAGGACAGATAGCATGCAATTAGATCAGTCCTTTCTTCAGCTTTATTCCTAAGAAACACCATAGGTACTTAATGTCAAACAACGTCCCTCTGATGTTCACCTGAGGTTACATGTAGGCCAACACTCTACTAGCTAAACTAATGTGGTGCTCTTTGTCCACTGTGTATCATCAAAATCTTTGAAACATTGCAGCGCTTTGGGATAATTGATAACTGCTTTTGAAGTATCAATCATTTGCAATCTTTAATAATTTAGAACATGGGTCTAGCAACAAATTCTTTGGCCTTCCTTCCCACTTTCTGGATTTCAACAAAATTCATGAACTCTGATGAATTTCTATAACTTGCCTAATTGCTTACATATATGCGTACTATAAAGCCAATCCAATTCACAAAACTCAAGATTTGTCTTAACTCTGAGAAAAATGCTGCAGGAAATCATTTAGAATTTTTATAAAATTTTCTTCACAACAAATTTTCAACTAATGAGGAATTCACAAAATAATGATAAAGGGCATTGTGTTCTTAAATGGACCTTTTTTAACAATTAAAAGATCAACAGTGTTTTACCTTCGAGTGATATCACTTTTAAAGACTTCACAGGTTTGAGGACAATCGTATTCTTGTAATATTTGTAAATACTAAATCTATCAAAGTAATTTTTGTACACATTTTAACACGCAAGTCTAAAACAACAAATTTCACAATTGCAATGTAATGATTACCAATACTAAGAGATATAATGGCGTCTCAAAAAATTGAGTCTCTCTGGAAAAATCAGGTCTTGAATATCTCTCCCTGAAAATCGCTTTCATATATCTAAATGGTTTTAATAAATGCAATGATATTCTTGAAACAAAAGCATATATGACCGACATTTCTCTGTTCAACCTATAATCATGATTTGGGATGTCTCCTTGCAGGTACACATAGATTTACGTGATCTTGTTTCCACTTGGTTTCATATAAATACATAATCACAATAGATACCTTTTTCCTCACATAGTCTCCTCTAAGCTCTTTTTTTTCATCTCGTAAGTGGAAAATATAAGTAAATGTTTTAAGATTCACCTTTAACTACCAGAAAAAATTCACATGAACTTGCAGTCAGAATAAACATGTTCACAGAGGTCCTATACAACTACATCATAACAACCTGTCAGTCGCTGAACAACCTGGTCCCTACAAGGAAAATTATTCTACAGTACCTAAAGTCGTCTTTATTTTCCACTGCTGTCTTCTAAAGAATAACATTTTTCATTGATCATTTCATGACCTACATGAACTGTTAAAATGATCTAACAGACTGCTTTTCATTTCTTTCAAAGCATATATGTTATCAATATTCCTTTCTGTATAAACATAAATAAAAGTGTCTCTGTAAAAAAAACAAAACAACTAGTGTTTAAATGTTTTATTTAAAACATGTTTTTATCATTGTATTAGAATGTGTCATTAGTAACTGAAAATAAATGAAAAGTGCAAATATTAAATATGATTAATTCACGATATATGGTTCAATTTATATTTTTGCTGAAATTGTTAAAAAGTTCCAGAACCCCATGCCATGATGCCTGTAAGCAATTCACCTTATCAGTTGTTATGGATATAAGAGAATACATACTAAGTTTTTGCTGAGAAGAATTGAACACAAAAATAAATGTATGAAAAGAGCTTAATGAATTTCATAGACAGGTTATCACTTAATTGGTGATGTTAATTGGCTCGAGCTTCAAGCGCGTGCAAATATGAACGAGGTCAAGGGTCAACCAGGGTCAGCATCACCATCTTCACAACAATGGCTACTGTAGCCAGTTTCACTTGACGATGTGAAATATCGGGTCTTGTGGTCCAAACGACCGACCACTTAATGACAGGTACACATATGAACGGGGTACACATAGACAGGTAATACTGGACACAGACACAACAAAAACTGACCACAGGTCGAACACAACACAGCTGCAGATGTTGAAAAATACTCACCCACGGTACCAAGTGGGAACTGACTGTGTAGCGGTGCCCCGTAACTTAATCCCTGACCGACACCGCACACCAGCAATATCACGCCTAAAAGCATGTTAGATACGTTTCTTAAAACCTTCACCACATCCCCATGCTAAGAAATATTGGTTAGTAAGTAGAGGAAAGTTAAAGATCCAGTTAATAGACAGAGCTAAACAGGCAACATGCTCGGTGACAGATTTGTTTGTTAGGCTGAAGCAAGATGGCGGCTCTGTATTGAATATTCATTAGATGGCTGTGACGTCACACTGACGATAGTTCTCGCCAACATTGGCGAGGGTGCCCGTTGCTAATGAAATCAAGTTATGGACTCGTATCGATCTGTTCACGGTTATATTTATCCCGATGTCTTTATCTTTCATACTCACTGGGGTGCGGGGGCTGGTAGGAAATACGTCATACACAAACACAACATCGGAATTTTCGTTCAAGGATTACTGTCACCGACAGCCCATCCCACGTGTAGGTTTCGAAAACTGTTTGACATGTTTCCCTTGTTTTTTTATATCAATTTATCACACTTTGGCCTTATTAATTAGGTAGTTGTCGAAAAAATTTGATTGGACGAATCGAGACAAATGAGATACCAGGGAAATTCCTACGGTGTCCACACTGTTAAAAGGACTACCCTAAAATCGATAATTCAAATTTGCAAGAATTAAAATAAATAAAAAAAATTGTCTCGCGTTAAAGAAAATATACAGATCAGAAAATGGTTTCACGTATGTATTGGCAAATAACAGATATAGTTTAGAGTAAATCAAGTGTACAGATATACAGCTACCAAATGATACCTTTATACCCTTTATATAATACTAGTACATCCTTGTCCATATCATCAGGTTTAAGCGAATTCCAATAACAGTGAACTGTAAGTAAAATTCTTCATCATAAATGTGTGTCAGGATGACCAGCTACAGATAGAAGTATATCCTAGGTTTAGTTAAAGCATATACTTAGGGAGACATTAAGTTACACCCACTTAAATGCAAGACTCTAACTAACATTGGTTTAATTTATAATGAAATCCTTTTAACAGTCACATGTAGGCTAAAATGGTATAATTGAAACCGTGTTTACATTTAACAATGAAGCAGGTTTTGTAATTATAGTAATGTACCAATTGAACAACATTGACCCCGCCAAAGCCGCCACCGAATTCGTCGCACGAGAGAAAAAAATGGAGAAAGTTTTTCACAGGCCGTAATAAGTAAATTTACACTTATAATAGCACCTTTCCTGTTTGTATCTATTTTTATGTATCGTAAACACGTGTTCAAGCGATTTCTACTTTCTTTACTATAGATAACGGTCTTCAACAAACTTAACTATGTACGTGACTTCATTGCACGCGGAATCCTTACAGTCGCTGAAACACGGCTCGACTCAATGTCTAATTGAGAAATGTTTTGGCACGCTAGGCTATGTGGTAACAGAATTTTGACAGGTATCAAATGTCGGTCTATTTTTCTTATTTATTGCATCATGAGTTAAGTCACAGACCTTGACTGGCACAGACGTTACAAGGCTTTCTCCGGAATACATTTATATGCACTTCGATGTGGTACTTTAGATGTCGTTCTAATTCGAGCAAAAAGCGACATAATCAAAAACAGAGTATTTATCACAAAACATTATGGTGAAAATACAGTGTATATCTATACCATTAATATAACAGATGTTTAGCAGACTAGAGATGTTTGGTTTATCTGTATACTGACCACAACCGTACTTTACGCCAATACGTTATTATATGCCATCCGAGTTAATACGAAATGGATGATGTCATCTTCCTGTGAACCCTGATTCTCTTTCTGCCCTGGTGTTACTAATGAAACCTTAACTACAAAACAGCGCAAATTCGATTAAAATTGAAGTGTTGGAGAGTTTCAATAATTAATGGCTTCTTGATCTAGCTGGAACAACATAGATGAATCATTCAAGCGTGAATGTCTGTATTAACGGAAGAGCTCTGCAGTTTTCTAAGACCAACTTGTGTCTTTGCTAAAAATCAAACGAATACTTGTTCGTTAGGTTCTCAGAATTAAGAATTCATCAACTTTTGCAGATTGCCAACTTTTCAAGCTGAAGTGTCTCGGCTTCTAGTTACACAGCATAATCATTTTGGTTTTTATTATTATGGCAATTTACCGGTCGTTAAGTCGTTTAACTTGATCAACATCCGATTTCCCCTGAAGAGGTCGACCCCCGTAAAACCAGACCGGCAGGGATGACCGTTGTTTATGGTTAATACGCTTACGCAGTCGATTCGTAACGTGACGTCAGATACATTGTATGGACGTCGTGTGTCTACCCAAACAGTCCGAGTATTTTGAAAACCTACTAGTTGAAAGCGCGTCGTCCCTAAACTGGATACATTTTGTTATTCTAGTAATCCTAGTAGTTGGACCCGGATTTACCATCGTTAAGCCTTATGGCAATAGAACTATGTCCTGTTTTCATACCAGACCTGATTTTGTCTCCGCCACGGTGACGGAAGGTGCTGTGTGTGGAGCCGTCGATACGAGCACGGGACCGCTTTGACGGCGGAAGTGTAATGGGGTGGGGCGGAAATTGTACCAAGATTGTTAACGGTAAATGACAATGTAACCGGGATTCAATATAGGGGCAACCTTTTAAGATCCGTCGAAATCATGTGATTTGTCACCAATTAAGCATGTTTGGGAGTTTTTGGGCAACGCGTGTATGGTGCCATATTCAAAATTTACATATGTCCTTTAACGTCAAATAAAACATACTGAATATAAAGTTTTGCAATTAACCATGACAACAATTTTATCCGAATAGATGACGCCATAATCATATATGATAAATAACGATATGTAAAGAGAAAAATTAATACATCCTAACATTAAATGGGAATGTTTTGGTTTTGTGTATTGATAGATAGAACCATTTCTTTTCCAAGGATAGAATTCACTCCCTCCTCAGCAAGCTACACTGTTAATTAGTCAATTAGCTAGTTAGTCAGTTAGTTAACAAGTCTGTACCAAAAAGATCAGCATTCCGGATGAAAATAAAATAAAACGGTCAGATATGGGTTAATATGTCAATAAATCTTAAGATTGTTTACTGTTGTCGTGACAGTTGAGAGGTAGTTGTTGCTTTGTAAGTATTACCACGGCTGGAACAATGGAATTATTTGGAAACGTTTTATTTTAAAATCAATAGTAGCATATGAAGAATTCTGTTCTATACTTAATGTATATATATCTAGTCAAATCAGAAAAAAGTCCCTTGTCTGTGAATTTAAACGTGAACGGGCACGCCACGCGTCTAATACTATTAAAGTTTCAATACGTACAGTTAATTTTTTTTCTGAACCCAAAATAAGCAGACTTTCGGTTACCATTTAATAAAAGTAATGTGGAACGACAGCAAGAAACAGTACTTTAACGACAGGACTGGTACGTCACACAAACTCAAAATATAATTATTTCAATGAAACGTAGATGTCATAAATATACTACTTGTAATAAACGTACAGCCGTGCTCTCAAGAGATTTTCAGGAACTTCTGAAATTTCACATCTGCTTGAACCTATATGGATTGTCATATATGCTTCTTTGTTCGCGATTCTTGTATGTGATGTTTTGTTATTTAAGGAGAAAATGTCGATCATGTTTATGTTTTAATGTTATCTTGAAATTTATCTGACGAGTAAGGTCATTTTATTTATCATAATCATGTAACGAGTAAAGATGGAGTGTCACATCGCTTATGTCATTGTTAAATACTGACAATAAATTCATTATTTGGCTGTAATGTATTGAAATCTAAATTTCAATATCAAAAAGTGTTATTCACATACAGTCTTCAGGAATGCAGGTGGTAGACACTGCTGCTGGATTTCTACTTCCCGTGGTTTGCAGTAAATAATTTTCTGTACATTGTAACAATCAGATATATGAAAACTCCTTGAATTATGGGACTAATCGATCATAAGCATTACTGAGGAGTCATAAAGGCGCCATTTATTTATGTGTTTTCTGTATAATGTTTACAACAGTCATTGGACGTGATGAACATTAGAAAAGTAAGAAAGCAATGTACAGTGAACAGTTCATGGTGTTGTCCTTGTCTGGGAGAGACCATATTAACTATATTATCTTTAAAAACGTCAGATTACAATTGTGCTGTTAGCTCTCTCTCTCTCTCTCTCTCTCTCTCTCTCTCTCTCTCTCTCTCTCTCTCTCTCTCTCTCTCTCTCTCTCTCTCTCTCTGTGATACATTTGTCACTTAAACATGCCACCTTGTTTGTACAATAGTTTTCAGGAAAGGGCTTAATATAAGTTGGCCAACTTGTGCCCAATCCCAATGTATATATTGATACAATAAAATATGTTTAAACAAAAAAAGTCATTGGTTCCCTGTAAATAACTATCAACCTAACGCTCTTAAGGTGGTCCCATGTTCAACATATTTGTGGCTGTAATCTTCATTGTATTGTGCAGTTCATGAGACATTTTTTCATAAATCTGATTATCTCCCTTGTTAAATATAGTCAGAAGATAATTGTTTTGATTACAAAAAAAATATTGCATGCAACCTGCACAAAATGTCGTGTATTGCCAATAACATTATTGATATCATGGACATAATAATGTTATTTGAGAAGCACGACAATCTTGTCAATGGTAAGGCTTCAGTGTATGTATGGTGCTATTTTTGGGCTGTTTCAAGAATGTGAATATTTTTATGTTGTCCGTGTTAAAAGTCTTTTTGTCAGCTGTTATTATGATACTTCATTGCAATAATTGGAGCTATTTCTATCTTGGTTCTTTTACTTTATAAACTGTAAGTGGTAATTATTTATTTATTCATTTTTCGCTTTGAAAACTCATATATCGTTCCACTTCATTCAAGGCAAGATGTTAAAAAAAGGGTAAGATATTTGTTCCTTTCGTCTGGAAAACACCTTAAATCCGTAGGTTTCTGAAGCAAATATGGTGGACACTTTCTGAACGAATCTTTCAGTGCCTCGATTCTGCTCTGTCCTGCTCTTCGCGGTCCTTACTTATCGAATATAGAAGTTATCAAAATTACAATTTTTTTATTATTTATTTATTCATTTTCTGCAAATAGGAGGTCAGAGATCAACATATCCCAACAGACAG